AAGGCTTAGTCTCTGAGCTAGGCTGGGCGGTGCAACCACCCCTGATAGGTGATCGAATCACCTGAGCTCAGTCTCCGAGCTCTACTAGGCGGTGGCACCGCTTGGGCTTAGTCTCTGAGCGAGACTAGGTGGTGCAACCGCCCATGTCAGGCGGTGGCACCGCCTAGAGCTCGGTCTCCGAGCTCTGCCAAGCGATGCAACCACCCCTGATAGGAGGTGGCACCACCCAGAGGCTCAATCTCCGAGCTCTGCCAGGTGGTGCAACCGCCCCAGTCAGGCGGTGCAACCGTCAGACCCCAGAATTCCGGTAGATGATAGTTTTGAGCTTGGAATTCAAACTGGTTTGGGGCCTATAAATACCCCACCCTTTCAGCAATGAAAGGGTAACCCATACCACCGAAAGCTTGATCTTACTCTGTGATTTTAGAGCTCAAAAGTGTTGTAAAGTCTAGAAGTTCTCCTCCCTCTTTTCTTCCAAGTTTTGATCTTTCAAGAGAGGAGAGAAAAGTTTGTAAGGGTTGTCTCCTAAGCCCGTCAAAAGGAGTGAAACTGTAAAAGGGTGGTTGGCCTTCGCCTAATGAAGGAAGGCCTCTAGTAGATGTCGGTGACCTCGTTGGTGGAGGAAGCTAAAAGTGGATGTAGGTCAAGACTGACCGAACCGCTCTAAATCTTGGTTTGTATTTACTTTGAGCATCTTATATTTACTGCAAACCACCTCAGTAGCTTATTGCCTTTTGCTCATTTATGAATGTGTTTCTTAGTTAAGTATTTTCTGAATCGACGTTAAGACGGAAATCGATTTTATCGTACGAACATCATATTTCAGTTTATGCTTACATTCTGATTTTTATCTTAACTGCAAACTGCCTTCCTTACCTTACTTCAAATACGTTTCTATAAGCTTTCAACGTTATTATCTGCATGAAACAACTTTTACGTGGAATCGGATTTCAACGTACGAACGTAGTTTTAACCGTCGAAAGTTTTCCGCTGCACTAATTCACCCCCCCCTCCTCTTAGTGCTCTTGATCCTAACAATCATCGCATCTGCCATGTGGATTACTGCTAAAGAGGAGGATGTTAGGACTGAAATAGGTACTAAGGAGGCGGGGCGGGGGGAGGGGGGGGGGGAGGGGTTTAAATTAGTGCTTACTAGTCATAGGTGCCATACAAGCCAATCATGTGAGTGATGACACATGTGACATGATACGCATTCTTTTTGCTTATTATATTTTAACATTTTTATCAGTTTATATTGCTTGTTACATGTATGCATATATATTGTGATGTCCGTCGATTTGTGTAATGAGAATCAGATCATGATAATGAAACCGATTCACCTTTAAACACAGACCCTAAATAATAGCTACTCATGTGGGGACACTAAGGATATACAGTATAGTGTTAGATAGTTAATGATGCCTTATTATCAGACAGTAATTCCATAGTCCTAGTGGTGTATCTGGTCCTTGTTAGGATCGAGTCGGCACTAAGAGGGGGAGGGGGGGGGGGGGTAGTGCAATGAATAAAAAACGTCAGTTTAAAAATCTTCGTACGTTAAATAAACTGATCTCGGAAGATTTCTTGAAATTATGTTTGTTCGTAAGGGTAGTGAAAGCCAAGTAAGGAGGAAGTGAAGTAATTGCAAAGTAAGTAAATGACAATAATAGACATATAAACCAGAATTTATAGTAGTTTGGTCGTTTTGACCTACATCCACTTCCGATTCCTCCTCCGTCGAGGTCACCGGCATCTACTAATGGTCTTCCTTCAATAGGCAAAGACCAATCACCTCTTTACAGCACTTTCTCCTTTTCACGGGTTTAGGAGATAACCCTTACTGGCCTCACACCTCTCTTGAATGATTACAAATCTAAGGAGAGAGAGGAGGAGGACTCTTCTCACTTTTACAACACTTTTAACACCTCAACACTTTGAATTTTTCAACACATCCCCATATTTCATGCATAAAAGGGTAGGGTATTTATAGGCCGCTCAGAATTGAAGTAAAAAAGTATCACATCCCCAGATTTCAGGGTACCGGCGATACCACCGCCATTACTGGGCACCGCCTACAGACTAACACTGGGTGGTACCACCACTTGATAAAGCTCGGAGATCGAGCTCTAGTGGTACCACCGTCTGACAGGGGCGATATTATTGAATCTCGAATTTTGATGATGAAGTCAATTGTTATTTGTTTATCTAATCTATATGTTGAGAAAAGTATGCAGGATTAACTACGATGATAGTAAGATATGCAGCAAGTGTTATGGTGGAGTCAAGATCAAGATCACGTTGGGAGTCTGAGAGTTTGTCGGAAGTCAAGACGTTCGTCGGAAGTTCTACGGGAACCAGCCGAGAAGTCCAGGAGCTTACCATAGAAGCTCATCGGAACTCGCCAAGAAGATCATCGCGAAGTCCAGGAGCTTGCCGGGAGTCGGCCAGAGCATCGTCGAGGGTTCGTCGGATGTTCACCGGAAGTTTACCGGAAGCTCGCCGAAAGAAGCGATTGACGCACCGGAACATAGAATTACAGTAATCATGTCATAATTGTCATAGTTAGAGTATAGATTAAGTTAGGGTTGGGAGGTAATCCCACTGACTTAATTAGGGGCCAATTGGGCCCTTAACGGACCTAAATTGGGCCGAATGGAATAGCCCATTCGGACCCAAAATTCCTAGCCGACGGTGGCACCGCCCAGGAGACTTGGTCTCCTAGGGATTCTGGGTGGTAGGACCGCCCCTATCAGGCGGTGGTACCGCCGGCTGTTATTGCTGCCAATGGTGGTACCGCCCCTATCAAGCGATGGTACTGCCTAAGCTCGGTCTTCGAGCATTGTCAAGCGGTAGTACCACCCAGACTGAGCGATAGTACCACCCAAACTAAGTGGTAGTACCGCTTAGTGTTCGATGACAAGTGGTAGTACCGCCCAGTTATGGCGGTGGTACTGCTAGGATCCCGAAAATCTAGGAATGGACACTTTTAGGCTCCATTTTCAAGTGATGGTACCGCTTAAGCTTGGTCTTCGAGCATTGTACAAGCGGTAA